AATAAGAATAATCATAAATAGCGAACCAAGGCATGAAATTTTGCTACAGGAAGTGTTTGAAATCTCCACCGTCTTCTGTTATGCATAGACGGCACCGTTTTTGAACATTTTTCGCGGAATTCATTAATTTATTGGGGGGTGAAAGTTACCCTTGCATAACCGCTAAGTACCTACTTCTAATGCTTCTAGATTATATAGGCAATTTAAAAATAAGTATTTTTTATTTGAATATATATTTTTTTTAATTTTCTATGTAGAAATTGCCTAGAAAAAGTCTGCCACAAAAACGCAAGATTTGCTTGTGTCTTGCAGCAGAACTAAGACTAAGACTGGACACTGCAAGACCAAAAGCAAGAGTACTTATTAGACTGTAAGACCAAGACTATTGTACTCTTGATTTTGAATTTGCTTATCAACGTAATTTGTATATTTTTTTAAAATTATTTTTTTAAGTAAAAATAAATAATATAATTTTTTATACCTCTACATCATCCAGTATGGTTTCGGTACTACTCTTGTAAGTAGTTTCTTCAGCCTCAGCCAATAATTCTTTACAACCCCAAACCAAAACCACCAAGACCAAAATATTCACACTCGATGCCATGGTTTTTTGCTTTCTTCAAGTTGTATACTGTTTTTAGAAAATTCTGTAATCTGAGCTTATATACTGTCTTTTATATAGCGTGATTATATAGTTGCATGTTTAGAAAAATAGAAGATGGACAGTAAAAACAATAATTAACCACTCGAAGTACGTAATTGTTTGAAGGGATTCATTGGGTTTAGATTTGTAAGACAGTAATTTGAAATAAAAAAGTAATATCAATAATTAGTTATTTTAGGAGAATTTTCTTTATTTCACTATGTGTAAAACTGGGTTTTTACAGTGTTTTTGAACATACCATTCAAGGAATTTTCTAAGTAATTTAGCTTAGTTCCTGTGGATTTACCTTTCGCCAAATTGTGTAGAACTATTGAAATATTTATTAAAAACAGGATGTATTTTTATCTATCAGGTTTATTTACGTTTTTAATTTATTTTGTGTAAAATGGTATTTTGGCAATCAAATTATATGTCTAAATAAATAAAACAAAGTCGGTATTCTTACACCATTTATTACTTAAGAACGGTTTGACTGATTTTAATGATCTCTGATTGTTGCATTCGTCTAAGCCTCGAAAACAGTATAATAAAAATGTCTAAAAAATTCACGGAAAAGAATTATATAGAAACTTCCACACCTGTAATTTTTAACCAATCAAAACGTGTTTTTTTGACAAATCACCATGGCAACAGATAAATTTTAGTGAAATTTTTTTCCTTGTGGGCACTGAACAGCGAATTATACTGGAAATTTTTTTACGTTTATAATGACAGAATATCTTTTTGAGAGTCTGGTTTTTATTTGTTTACATGATAATTTTGATACAATTCAATTACAAAGCTGAGATGTTTTCTATATTCTTTGGACACCTCCTTTCTTCTTAATAGCAAAAATGTAGGACTTGGAATGGACTGAATTATATGACTATGTCTAATGAAATATATATAATATTTAGACACTATTTTATTCACCTTTTTCCACTTAGCACTTTCAATTTTAAGTAGTTTAGATGCAAATATTCGTGAACAATTCGAAACAAATTTTCTTTCTTCAAGTAGGAGCCACAATCCTCTATTAATGCGGGTAAATAAGTCATCGCACGATGATTGATCATTACATCAGACAATTTCATGCATATTTTGCATGTAGTATGATTTTCAAACAGATTCATTTTTAAAACAAAGAATTTTGTTGGTTTTTCAAGCTGCACAATATTCTTTATTACAACAAAGCGCGAGTTTTTCTGATATTTTGAACTGTCAAAATACGTTGATCACAGCCTTTTACGATGGATGATTGCTGACGCTGCGCGCTGGTTATGAATTCCATACCAATAAAGCGTTTATGAAAAGTTAATAAAAATGCAAAAAAGCAATTTTCTACCACTTGTAGTTACTCAAAACTTATGTAAAATTAAAGAATATATTGTGTTGTGTCTTGAGATGGTATTTTTGTGCAGTCGAAGTCAACAATTGCTGCCAAAACTGTGACGCACTGTAAATCTGTTCATGCAGCGTTCCGAAAAACCTTTTAAATTATGATTTTCTACCACTTGTAGTAAGCCCAAGTAACTATAAAATGAAAGAATATAATATTTTAGGTCTTAAAATGGCACTTTTGAGCTACTACAATCAGTAGAAATCAACAGTTTACAGGAATCCATTGGTGACAAGTAACTAAATAATCAAGTCGACCAAAAATCGCTCTATTAATATTTTTAGAAAATTATCCTTCGTCTTGGACTCGAAAATCTTGGTCTTGGACCGGAAATAATTTGACCTCTAGTGGTATTCCTAGTGAAAATTATTTATATTAATCATTAATAATTTATGTCCACTCCAAAAAGAATGAAAATTTAACGGAAAATAGTGGGAAAATAATATATTCAAATCTAAAAAGATAGTGAAATATCGAGATTATACCCTGAGTCAAAATACATGAAAAATTCAGAGAAGAAATGACAACAACTGTCTAACCGATTGGTCTCCAACATTCAAGATCATTAGGTCAATCAGAAGTTTGAACCATAAGTTTGCCAAAAAAACTATTTAGGTATGTATGGTATTGACAAAAAATAAATTCTCATTACATAATTTTTTTAGGATAGGCACGATTTTAAACCACGCAACATCTGTATAGAAATTTTTTCATATCTTTGTCAACAACGACGATATTAGACTTTCTCGCACTAATGCGCCACCCTGTATATTTTCCAAAGGGACCGTCTAGTGGCCAGTAAATCTTTTTATATTTCTTTTAAGGAACCTTTAACGTCAATAACAGATATGAAAAAGTTTATGCATATTTAATTTTTTTTTAAACTCAAGATTAAAATTTAATTTTTGTGATACACTATATAATAATAAGATTTTGAAAATTATTGTTGGTATTAAAAGTCCATTTCAATAGTCCGAAAAAGTAGCAAAATAAGGGTTCGGCTAGGTATTTTGATACAAATGAAGAAGGAAATTAAAGATAAAGGATTTATACCTACTATATTATATCCTTATTGATTGAAAATATTCCTTATGTTTGGACTCAATTTTCTCGAAAATAAAGACATAATTTAAAATGCCGTTACAATACGGAAATAGATTGATAGTCCAGTTATCTTAGGGGTTTCACCTCGGAATTCGAGATAACCGGCTGTAAACTCGTATAAACCTTTATTTTAACATCCTAAAACATGTCTCAAAACCTACATATGATAGCGTGTGCGCGACTTGTAGATAACTGAGTTCAAAGGTCAAAAAATCGATTTTTTTGCATATTTTTTGTAAATATCTCGTTCCCTTTCACATTTACGCTATTTGTATTTAATATAAATATTGTAGAGGATAAAATTCTCTACAACTTTTGTTTCAAACATTTTTTTGTACCTCAAACCATTTTTGAGATAGAGGGCGGTGAGCGCGCAGTCTTTCATTATGTACGGTATCATTCAAGTTCAACCTGTAGTCTCGATCAAAAACACGCCGTATAAAGTCCGTTAATTATTGAAAAATATATAATTATAAATAATTTACATTTTTTCATAAAAGATCATATTTAATATAATATTTTTTTCATAAATTAAGTATATCTTCATTTAATAACACCCCTTAAACGCCCTTTAATAGAACGTCGACAGTTTTTAAAAGACGTCTATGCCATAAAACCAAAGCCACTGACAAGTTGGTTTTCGTTTGCATTCTACGCAGTGGTGTTTAAAAAATATATTTTTTTATTTTATTTTAAATTTCTCTTCCAGTAGCGAACTATCAAGGCTTTAAGAAAATATAAACCCACCATAAAGGCATTAGTTCGAGGTGTTCATATTTTATGATAAAATATTTCGCAAGTTAGTTTTAAAGTAAATGGGGCGTCTTCTGAACTCAAGTACTTATACAATGTCAATTTAATAAGTACTCCAGAAATAAATTTTATTAGCAACAAAAGTTGAAAAAAATACAATCATACATAATATAAATAATTTATTCAAAATTTAAAAGAATACATTTTCCAATGGTATTAACTTATTTTTATTATTTTCCACATCGTCCACAGTATCTTCTATGTCCTCCACCACGTCCTCCACCTCCTGTAACATTAAAAGTAGGTTTTATACAAATTACTATTTCTAATGTTTTTATAATTATACAGTTTGGATTGGCCAAATGAAATAAATTCGATAATAAATGTAGTGCTAAAAAGAAGAAGAAAAAAAACTCAAAGTCTCGGTTTGGTTTTCTTTTATTTTTTTTATTTTTTAATTTTTTCTTTTTTCTTTTTTTCTTCTTCACTTTTTTCCTTTTTTTTTCTTTTTTTTTTCTTCTTTTTGATTTAAACCAGGTCTCTCTAAGAAGAATGAACGCCTTTTTTGTAGTGCCTGTTAGTTACATTACATCATTTATAACTCCAAGAACGGCTGATCTTTAATCAATATACTATACTGGCAAATACTTGAATCAAAAAAAAATATATTTAAAATAAATATTATTTTATATTTTTATATATATTTATAAAATTATTTTTGTAAAGTAATTATTTATTACCAGTATTTTGAATTTATAATTTTTAATACTTTTGTACCTTTTATATTAATATCTTTTATTATTTCCTACTAACACCCTTACTACCTTACTACCCTGTACCAAATAAATTAATAGTTAACACAACCTGTACCTAATTCTGCATATTTTCATATAAACCTTTTAAATTACTGAATAATATTAAGAGTATAATACGATTTGGAAAAAATTAAGCTAGATTTTTTGCCTGTTTCTTGTACTTTTTCATAACACTGATTTGAAATTTAAAAAAATCGTTACGTACCGGGAAAAATAAATTAATTTTAGAAGGATAATCTAGTTGGCTGCTTTCAAACACAAAACTTAGTTAGATAAAAGTCAAGTACAAGTTAATAAGTACTTCAGAAATACATTTTATTAAAAACAATAGGTGAAAAAATGTAGTCATACATAATATAAATAATTTATATAAAATTTAAAATAATACATTTTCGAGTTGTTTTAATTAATTTCTATTATTTTCCACATTGTCCACAGTGTCCTCTATGTCCTCCACCACGTCCTCCACCTCCTGTAATTTTAAGAGTAGATTTTTGTACATACTATTTTTTTAATGTTCTTGTAGTAATGCAGTTGTTATAAAAATTCCATAATAAATGTGCGAGTGTTCCAAAAATTCTCAGACACACACTGATGCTTTTGAACATTCTATCAATTTTTATTTTTTTTTATTTGTAGTATCACGTACTGAAATTTGGTACACTATTTATAGTTATGGTTGAATTACATACCTCCAAATCCTCCGCCTCCACCAAATCCTCCACCGCCTCCAAATCCACCGCCAGCACCTCCACCTCCACCGAAACCGCCGCCACCTCCAAACCCTCCACCTCCTCCTCTACCACCCCAGGGTGTAGGCGATCGTTTCTCCCTCAGTAGATCATCTGGGATCATTTTTACAGCTTCGGCCTAAAATAAAATATACTATACAAGGTGTTTCAAAAAACATGTGCCATCTCTCGTGGGGAGATTCCTCACGTAAAAATATGATTTATTTTTCATATCAACATAGGTCCCATTCTGCTTTGTTTCGTAGTTACAGGGTGTTAAATAATCTTTCGATTTATTATAATTTTCTTCCAAGTACTTTTACCGTTTCGAGCGAAAATTTAAAAGTAAAAGTTACTATAAAAAAAATTTATATTAATAAAATAAATATATTAAAGCTAAAAAAGTGCCAAATATTCCCCAGCGACGTGCGTATGGGTTATCACTGGAATATTTTTCCAAAAAAAGCATGTACGCTACTGACTTTTTTTCTCGTTAGCGAAATAGTGTAAGCAATTTAATGCCAATTAAAAGATTCTCTTGATATTTTGTCAATTTCGGCATCCTTGATGAGATAAACGCAATTTTATTATTTTGCCTTGCTACAAGTCTAATAGCAACAGCCAACAAAAAATGGCATGGCTTTTCAACTATAGTGATATTACAAAATCAATAACCACTAGTTCATAGGTTTGTTGATGAGAACCTAAAGCAAAGGTCTGTTTTAATGCTAAAACTGGTGTAATTCATAACTGCGAAGCAAATATTATCTCCAATAAAAATTAAGCTAGACAGATGAATAAAAAAAAACTAAAAAAACGAATCTTGATAATAAAGTAATTTTCACATTCATTGCTTTGTTAAATAATTCTACACAGGATGTTTAAAATTTTATTATATCACAAACAAGAAGATGTGAAAGCTGACAATATTTTATTTTTCTTCTCGAAAACAGATTTGTCAAAATAAGAATGGAATCATTTACCGAATACATTTAATTCTTTTACTGTTCTTTTAAGAATCATTTTTAAAAATGTTAAAAAGTAATTTTCTATTAAGAAAAAAATAAAGTTCATTTAAATTGTTTTCGAAAGTACATTATACTATGTCTGAACGGAAATTAATAATATATTATATATTACTTCTTCATGATGATGGTTCGGATCATTATCGACCAAAATATTCTCTAAACTAGGCTGAGGAGCACACCAAATACTATCTAAACAGCTCAATAGAGCCATTAACACGAAAATTGACACTTTTGACGACATTTTCACTGTCACTGAGACGTCTTCGGATGCAGTTGCTTTTTATATGATTGCAGAACACGTAATTTTTTAACTTTCGTTTATTTTTTTATGTTATTTCTAATAAAAACATTAAAAAAAGCAATTATGAAGTAGGATATTATTCATATTTTCATATTGTTTTTCAATTATTCTCTATATTTGCTCAGCTCTTGAGGAAATTGTTCAAGGTGGTATTTGAATAAGTGCATTTGGTTTTTACGTAATCCTTTGTAAAAACAAGAAATAATTTACAGTTTCTATAATAGTAATTAAATTAGTTCATAATAAATCCCTGATATTGAATGTTCTAAAGAGAAAAAAAGTATATGAATTGGTTACTAATTCTTTTGAAATTGAGACTACACCTTACTAGAAACATTAAATAAATTAGTAGAGGAAAGTCCTATAATGTATATTCTTTAGTAATTCCGATATGATAAGCCCGATCCAGTAATACCTAAGATCTTCTACAAGTTGCAGATTAAATACGTATCAAAGATTCTTTGTATCTCTGATCTAATATTTTTATGATTTATGGTAATTGATTTTGTATAGCTTGAGTATGTACAATATTGTATAGACTAAGAGTGGGCCCCAGGTGGGACCCTCCACTGCGGCCGCGAAGGCCTATTGTGGCTCAGTTTCTACAAGCTCTTTAATACAAAAAGACCATTAAAGTTCAGCCTTTTAACATAGGCCGTTATGTCCCAGGGTGATATGTCGTCTAGGTCTGATAGGTCTAGCGTGGGTTTGCCAAACCCACCCTAGACCTATGCCAACTTGACCTTTGCCAAACCCACGCTAGACCCCCCAGCGGGGCAGGTACACATAACGTGCTTCGTTGTTTCATCATCTTCCATACAGAGTCGGCATTCGGCGTCTTCCACTAGTCCCATCCTCTTTAGGTGTGATCTCAGCCGGCAGTTTTGTATGTGATCTGTGGCCGGCAGTGGCCCGTGTATACTGCAGTGAGCGTACGCGCTCCGTTCCTACCAGCCTTTAGGAGTTTATCTGTTCTACGTTTGGATGGCCCTGCTAGGATTGTCTTGGCATGTTCCATTCCATTTCTCATTTCTTCTTCAGTTTTTAATGTTGTTCTTATTGTATTACTACTTTCATAAAGGTATTCATAATTATCTGGATAAATGTTGTTATAAATGTATGTATTTTCCATTTTTTTAGCTGACCATGCCAAAGTTTAAAGAATAAATAATAAACCATCCACTTCTAACAGGCGTATCGGACAACTGATATCGCACCGTCTCGAGTAAATACGCTACCACAGCGCTACGTTCGATACGAGATATTAGTTCGTCACTCTTCGTTATGCAACAAGCTACGTCCGATACGAATATGCTTCCGAGACTGTCATACCAGTCCCAAAACGTCGCATCCCTAACCCATTCACAGGGCCTGTCCCTTGCGAGATTTCTTGGTACGCTAAGTTTCGGTTCTGTGCCCACGAATGGCGAGCCTGCACCAGTACCAGTGTAGTTAATCGGTACAACTGTCTGTACTGGGCTGAGGACAACCCCAGGGTTTTTCACGAGGTGCACACACAAAACCCTAAGAAATTGAACGTGTGGGCTGGTATTTTAGAAATTCTATTGTGAGTCCTTTTTTTCTTCCTGGAAATCTAACAGGTGATATGTACTTGGATTTACTGGAAAATACCATCGACCCAGCCCTAACTGACATCATAGAGAACAATCCTGGATACGTTGAAGCGGAACTAATATTTCAACAAGACGGTGCACCTCCACATTCTTTTCAAAATGTGCGTAATTATTTAAACAATAACTTTCCCGTTCGGTGGATAGGACGAAGGAGTGCAATTGAGTGGCCTCCCCGGTCACCCGACTTGACTTCTTTAAACTTTTTTCTATGGGGACACATAAAAAGTAAAGTATATAGCACTCCACCCGCCTCATTAGAAGACCTGCGAAGACGAATTATTGATGGTTGTTGCGAAGTGACCCCACAAGTTCTTCAGAATGTTCTAGAACGGGTTGAAAATAATTTGTATTACTGTATGGAGGTTGACGGGCAACATTTTCAGCATTTTCTTCATTAATAAGATAATTTTTTTTAATTAATTCAATTTATGCGTTTTTTGCAAAAAAGTACTTTTCAAATTTCAGTCTTTCATATTTTCAAAATGACTCGGCCGATTTTTAAAAACAAAGCGGGGAAATATAGAGAATAGAAAGCCCTTTTCATTGCGATGCCACTTGACCCCCCTTCCCATTTGAAAACAGTTGGGAATGACACCCTCGCTTAGAGGGTTGAAGATTTTACAATCATTTTTGGGGCAAAAGTTGTCCCCCTCACAAACAAAATTGACGTGTTTTTTGGATTTTTCGAAAAAAAAAATACTCTGGCTGTTATGCCTTGCGGAACGTTTTCGATGGGCCACCCTGTATACTAACGTACCAAAATCTCGTTTTTTTTCTGAAAAAAATAAAAAATTATAGGGGTAAGCCACTTTTGTGAAACACCTGGCATACTTATTTCTTTTCTTTCATCTTGGCGGTTGAGTAGAATAAATACCCCTGTGCCCTTTATGACCAACCGCCACTGTGTACAGTATATTTTTACATTAACTAGTGATCGGTTTTTAAGACTAGTTAATAGTTAACCATTTTCGTAAACATGTTTTTCCAAAACTTAGAAAAAAAAAACGCTCATCATCTATTTCAAACTAATGTATTTTCGCGTAGTTATCAATCACAAGATTGGTACGTACATAAACATTTGAAAGTTTTAAATGATATATTTATTAAACAAATAGTTTAAATATAAATATTATTTTATAAATCTATAGCAAACCTCAATTAAATTAGTTTGTACGTCATTCCAATATAATTTTTCCTTTTTATTTAAACAAAATGAACTCAAAAACTAATGTATGTACCTAGTAATATCACAGATCATACAGATTATAAACATAAACTTTGTTTTTTTATTTTATGTGGTTCCCCTCAAACTCAACCTTATCAATATTATTCTACTAGAAATCGGAATGTGAATATTAATTTTAAAAACAAAAAACGATTTTAAAATGGCTGACAATCGGATACTTGTTAAGAATGGCGGATTTCGGTGTCCGACTTAATATGAACTACCAATATACCAATTCCCACCGGGTCTCCAACATTAGTCGTCTTACACGACCGAAGCCATCAAACCGGACGACCGGCAATTGTATTATGACGTATATAATTCCAACGTACGCCACGTAAAATTTGCGATCGGCCGGCATACGTAGGAGCATCCGTCGTCGGCCATAGAGCATATAATTTTTCGTATTCCTGGTAAACGATTCCCGACATTGTCTGCTATTGGTCTATGATAGGTCAATTGTTTGTTGTAAAAAAATGTTCAACGGTTTCGTAGGCGTAACCTCACTTTGCGTATCAGTGATTTGTGGATTTGTGCAATTATATTTCAGTTTTTGTTTTCTCCTTAAAAAAATGGGCAACCACTTTTTTAAGATAGTATATATACAAAATTTAAAAGAATTGGAACCAGTACCTCACATGTCGGAGGAGGATGGGGTCTGCTGGTTTCCTAAGCTAAAAAAAGAAATTAAGATGCACCAGTGTAATACAGCCTCTCTTCCGGATAAAAAACATTCGTGGGTGGAGGCATCACTACTAACTACTATTATTATTTTGCAAAAGCCTCGACCTCTTTCTGTAAAATGTAGACGAATGTCTAAATGCCTTTTTAGTGTTTTTTACGCATAATAAAAAAATTAAGTTTGTTTACAAAAACTTTTTATTAGGTTATGTTCATGATGTTCATTAGGCCGCAAATTCTACTTAATGGGTTGTATTTACGGACGTAAATAGAGATACGTAAATTAGGTTATAAATATAAACATAAAATACAACAAAATATAATTGGACGTTACTTTAGGGATTATCAGTGAGACGTATCCTATTCGGACAACGGGTAGACGTCGGGCTAGTTCAAGTATATGTACGTCGTGCAAGCCAACGTAGGAACGACGTTGGGAAATTAATAAAAATGGTACGTTGTTATTTTGTACGTCGACAGATCGTTGGATTTACCGACTCGGATCCAACGACGTCGCTTTTAATAGAAAGCGACATCACCGATCGTATCACCAGCACCCGACCTAAATTTGCACAAAGTCTGACGTCGCTTCAGGTCAGATTTAGTTCGAAGTCAGATAGATGCTACTTGGGCAGTAACGATTTACAACAATTTTAGCATTGATTTTGGGTTCTCATCAACACACTTATAAAATACTGTTTAATTGTTTTGTAATGTCACTGTCATTGAAAACTCATATTATTATTGTTTATTGACGTTTAATCTAATAGAGATGGTTTTAAGTTCTGAAGTATTGGCCATTGCTGCTTTAATTGATCATGGTAGAGATCAACTTTTGAACTTAAAGCAGACACAGTTTCTTAGTTTCTCCGTATTACCAAAGTTTACAGAATTGTAAACTTTGGTATTACTGATAAATCTGTAAGTAATCTGTGTAAATGACATAATATCCTCGATCCTACAGAATCATCGATTGACCTTTCTGAAGCCACTTAAACTTTTTTCATCGTATTATAGCGCACTTTCTTGTGTCTATTCACACATCTGCACTTTACATTTTTAAGAGAAACCAAATTAAATAAACCACAAACCAGAAAAGTAATTTTTATTTATCTTAGTATCGCTTTATATACCGCAGCTTGGTTTCCAAACAAACCACAAGTACTATTATTTTGAACTGGTTTGTTTCTATAATTCTATTCTATTTATAGCCAATTAAAATATTATGTTTGCGGTTTTCTTGGCCATAAATATTGATTTGATTATAACTTATCACAATAAACTGCACTTTTAAATTATTACCCCATAAGGATTTATCGATAGTTTTTAAATCAAAGTGTAAATGAGAGGATATTGATTCATGGACGATAAAAAAATAGTAAAATTTACATAAAAACCGTAGAAAAAATCTTCCGAGAATCCCCGTTCGA